TTTAATATCTAGAAAAGGCTTGTAGGAGTGGTGGGGAGCTTAATTTGAATACACTACCGAATTCTGTCCTAGGACTCTCTTTTTCGCCCTACTACTTTAGCCAAAATTATATCGACACACAACAGGCACATATAGTTGATACAAGAATAATATCAAAACTATTTAGGGTTGAGAAAGAAGTAAAACAAGAGGCCCTCTCCCCACTTCTATATGTGCTTGCTTTTAAACCTCTACTCAAACTCTTAAATACAAATTTTAAAGGCATCTCTATTTTTTCTCAAAAATTCAAAACAGTAGCCTATGTAGCAGATTAATCAGAATAGAATGTTCTTTTATCCTGTATACATAAATATGAGAGAGCCTCAAATGCTAAAATTAATAAAAAAAAATCAATACTGGTTTCCATTATGAGCAATGCATGCTCATACACGAACAGTATAATTAATTTCTTCAAAATTTTACAAGCAGAGGAATCAATAAAAGTATTAGAATTTAGCATAGACTCAAAAGGGAATATTTAAAAAGACTTCTGGAATGAAATGACAGAAAAAATTAAAAAAGGCAATAGAAAAAATATCTCAACGCAACTTATCACTTAATGGTAAAATTCTAATCACTAAGGCCTTACTCTTTTTAAAAATCTGGTATGTTGCCTATATACATCCCTCTAACAGAATACAGCTCAATGAAATCAACAAGCGCATCGTAAAGTGGATTAAAAAAGACAATACGTCACATTTCAATATAACAGTACACATAGTAGGCTAGGTGCTCCTATCCTTAAAGATATACTCAACGCTAGACTTTTATCAATTTGGCTCAAGCTACTAAACATTTCAAGCTGTTGGGCTAAAGCTGAGTATGAGAATTTGAAAAATGTCTAAAAAGGAAATGCAGTACTACAGTTATGAAGGCCCTAAATACACCAACAATCAGAACTAGTTCTTGGCCAGACAAATGGAAAATATATATTGCAGCATGGAAAAGGGCCAAAAAAAATCTTATCATCAACAACACATGGCCTTGGAGCTTAGATTTTATAAACCTTGTAGGAGGAAGTGGGGATGAATATACTGTTAAAAAAGGATCATGCTTTCTCAAAGACAGATATGTACAGCTAGTGTTCTGCATGGACCGGATCTGATGGATCTTTTCAAGGATCTGGATTCGATCTGAAAAATCAAATTGGAGGATTCAGATCCATATCAGGCAGATCTAGATCCGATTTGTTTATAGTTTTTTTTTCTAGAACACCTGATAAAAATTAGCTGAATAATTTTTCAGCTGATTCGATTAAGTTTGCAGTTTTAGCATAATCCATATAATGACTGTTTTACAGCCATTGTAACAATAATGCCAACATGTTTAATATATCAATAAGTCTTAAAAAATGTACTATATATTAATTAGACTTTTAAG